CTTTCCTCCTGTTTAAAAACTGAATATTACTTCTGGCCAGAACTGGAGAAATTACTCCCACAGCAAAACTACTCCTGAGCAACAAGCAATAGTTGCTTTATTTTTTATTAAATACAGAAAATTATTACTCATTTATATGGACTTCTCCAAATTGAAACTGTCCAGATATACTATTAAATGAGTTTCATCGTGTCCCAGAAGACTGACCATGGCTCTACTTACTTGAATTATGGGAATTATAATCCAATCTCTGGAGGATACTGAACTGAGAAAAGTCTATTCTGTCTTTCTCCCTCCCTCTATACAGTAAATGTAAAGGCATATTATTAATTAAACACTCTGCCTTTACTGAATATAGCTGAATATAGCTTGACTCAGTTAAACCTGTTGCATGAGCAGGTCAATCAATATAAAAACATGGCTAGTGTGATTTTTGGAGGCAAAGACATTACTTCTCCAGAAAAAAAAAAGTTACTCAGAAGATTTTTGAGAACTTTTTAAATATAGATAGTGCAGTACATTGAAAGAGGATAATGTGAACTCTATGCAAGATGGTTTAGTGATGTTTTTTTTATTTGTTTTTTGTTCTTGGACTATTCTAGCTAAAGTGGACAATTACAGCAAACAGAATTACCTTCTCCTTGCCTGCTTTGTATTTAATAATGCTAATGCTTACCATTTGACTCATAGAGACAGCTGAGACAGCTGTTCCTGCAGGTAATTAAATCACACCCTCAGACAGCAGCAATCTCCAATGACCCAGTCAACCAAGAAGCAGAAATTTTAATGTCCCTCTGAGCTGCTGCAAAAAAAGGCTGGGAGGCTGCCACTTCCTTTAGTTATTCATCTACATTTCATTTTCACCTGAGTAAAGAACTAAAAACCCATCATAATTAATAGATAAACAGAGTTGGAAGATACCTCACAGATCATCTAGCCCAATCCCCGGCCCAAGCAAGAGACCCTACATCTGCCTCTACCTAGGACTGAACTCACTGCTAATTTTGTTTCATTTTAGAGTCAAGGAGAAATAGTTAAACCTTTTCGTGGTAAACAATTTGAGGTAGAAAATTACATTTAATTCAGTGGATCGTGCACACATAACATTTAAGATTCTCTTGATCTAAGATAGTATCAGCAANGGGCAATATGCTGACTCTGTAAACCGCTTAGAGAGGGCTGAAAGCCCTATGAAGCAGTATATAAGTCGAACTGCTATTGCTATTGCTATTGCTATTGCAGACAAGAAAACCAGCATAGTCAACAGCAGAAACACAGCTAGGAGATAGGTGCTTTCACTTTATGAGCACAGAGCTAGGTCTTTAGAGCCTCATAAAAAGCCAGCAGCATTGGAACCATCCAAATCTCCTGCGTGAGAATACTAAGAGTTAAAGCTCACCTTGTTTATTTCCCAGTCTGAGGATTAATTTGTAGACAATGAAGGCCAATAACTTTAAAAGCCAATGGTCTGGCCCCTGAATAGTTAATAAGTCCTTTTACAATACCCGTCCCTTCTATGGTGCACAAGTGTTTATCTGAACAACTTAGTTTAGGCTTGGAGGGAGAACTTCCCAGGAAATCTTTGCTCCCACCCCAACCCAAACACTCCCTGGTATTTGGAAGTTTTATATGCTGCCAACAATACAGTAGACTAATGAGCATTCTTCTGCTTGAAGGACACATTTAATGGCTTATTCAGAACTTGTCCTCACAGAAAATACAGCTTTTCTGTTCACTTTCCCCTCTTGTCTTTTCCTCTTGTTAAACTCCCTAAAAACTGTATGTGTTGCTTAGATGTACTATGTGTTCCATGCATTCAGTGTTAAGAGTTCTCAGTTGCCAAGGTCTGAACTGTAGCGCCTTGTAAAAGCAAAACTGAACAAGATTGTACCTCATCTACTATGTGATGGAGGTCAATCAGTTGAAATGTTATTGCTAACATAAATAATCATCAAGAGAATGATGGGCATTTGGCTGAAGTAAGCACCGGTACTTACATTCAGAATACTGCTGCAGCTGAGCAAACTCTGCTGGACTAAGCATGATCCACACCCCATCACTCATCTTTTACGTTGAGTTGTGAGGAGGCTGTATCACCTCTAATCAAAGTCCATGGAAAAGATGCACATCTACATCTAGGAGTTCTTCTGGGTCATTGCTCCAGTTTAGATCTGCAGGTGGTTACACTTTCTGTACGGCTATTGTTAAGAATAGATGTCTATTACAGAACTCAAATCACATTCATCAGGAATACTCATGTGTCCAGTTCCTTTACAGCTACGTTACTTAGGAGTGCCATCAGAAAAGTACTTCATGAAAAATTCCAGTGTATCCAAACCTAGAATTAAAAGGAAAGTAAGTTATACAATTATATGCACTTTTTCTGGATGCTTCTGTAGCTTTGCAAGAAAATGAAGATAGAACATACTCAATATTTTAGTTAGACATTTTACAAATATAAAAGCATCTACAATGAAAGAGGCTAATTCACAGCTAGAACCAGTGAATCAGGTACAAATTCTTGCTTATTGATGACGTTCTCTGGCCTGCCTTTAGGTGGTTATCATATCATACCTCCTAGTTTGTGAAGAAAAAGATGAGAAGACTGGAAAAAATAGATAGGCAATCCTAAGCAGTATAATAAAAAGATGGGACAGTTCTATGATAAATAAAAAAGTTCAGTCAGATTAGATATTGTGGATGATATAAAATATTTTAAAGAAATGGGAGAGACTGTCTGAACCATGAACTCAGTTGAGCTATTCAAGGACTTCAATGCAGGCACTGAATCAAAAAAAGAGATTACAGTTTACAAAATGCATTTACAATTCTGAAATAAACACAGTCCTGTTTAGGGAGGCATCCCATTTCTGCACAACATGAATGTTCATTTATTTGAGGAATACTATTGGGCATTATGCCTTACAAGTCATGTAGCACATTGTAGAAATGACTGCTATGTACATGAATATGTTGTTAAATATTTAAATCACAATTCTCTCTTGACTTAAACCTTTCTGTACTTTCCTAGAATTTTTTGCCTCAGTCTAATTTTTACATAATTTCAGTAAATCAGAGAGTTTTCCTAAAATATGATTGTAGTATATAGCCTACAGTAGTATTTCCAAATGAATGTTTGTTATGACTAAGCACAATTATTACCAATTTGCTTTATATGATGTCTCCCATATCTACATCATCCAATGCTCACTTTAGGGGTGTTGAAAATTATACATAGAAAAAGTGGGGGAAACCACAAGAGCCGAGGTGGCGCAGTGGTTAAATGCAGCACTGCAGGCTACTTCAGCTGACTGCAGTTCGGCAGTTCGGCTGTTCAAATCTCACCGGCTCAAGGTTGACTCAGCCTTCCATCCTTCCGAGGTGGGTAAAATGAGGACCCAGATTGTTGTTGGGGGCGATATGCTGACTCTGTAAACCGCTTAGAGAGGGCTGAAAGCCCTATGAAGCGGTATATAAGTCTAACTGCTATTGCTATTGCTATTGTTATTGCAAAAATATTTTTACAGCATTTTTTTTCTTTCCTCCTGTTTAAAAACTGAATATTACTTCTGGCCAGAACTGGAGAAATTACTCCCACAGCAAAACTACTCCTGAGCAACAAGCAATAGTTGCTTTATTTTTTATTAAATACAGAAAATTATTACTCATTTATATGGACTTCTCCAAATTGAAACTGTCCAGATATACTATTAAATGAGTTTCATCGTGTCCCAGAAGACTGACCATGGCTCTACTTACTTGAATTATGGGAATTATAATCCAATCTCTGGAGGATACTGAACTGAGAAAAGTCTATTCTGTCTTTCTCCCTCCCTCTATACAGTAAATGTAAAGGCATATTATTAATTAAACACTCTGCCTTTACTGAATATAGCTGAATATAGCTTGACTCAGTTAAACCTGTTGCATGAGCAGGTCAATCAATATAAAAACATGGCTAGTGTGATTTTTGGAGGCAAAGACATTACTTCTCCAGAAAAAAAAAAGTTACTCAGAAGATTTTTGAGAACTTTTTAAATATAGATAGTGCAGTACATTGAAAGAGGATAATGTGAACTCTATGCAAGATGGTTTAGTGATGTTTTTTTTATTTGTTTTTTGTTCTTGGACTATTCTAGCTAAAGTGGACAATTACAGCAAACAGAATTACCTTCTCCTTGCCTGCTTTGTATTTAATAATGCTAATGCTTACCATTTGACTCATAGAGACAGCTGAGACAGCTGTTCCTGCAGGTAATTAAATCACACCCTCAGACAGCAGCAATCTCCAATGACCCAGTCAACCAAGAAGCAGAAATTTTAATGTCCCTCTGAGCTGCTGCAAAAAAAGGCTGGGAGGCTGCCACTTCCTTTAGTTATTCATCTACATTTCATTTTCACCTGAGTAAAGAACTAAAAACCCATCATAATTAATAGATAAACAGAGTTGGAAGATACCTCACAGATCATCTAGCCCAATCCCCGGCCCAAGCAAGAGACCCTACATCTGCCTCTACCTAGGACTGAACTCACTGCTAATTTTGTTTCATTTTAGAGTCAAGGAGAAATAGTTAAACCTTTTCGTGGTAAACAATTTGAGGTAGAAAATTACATTTAATTCAGTGGATCGTGCACACATAACATTTAAGATTCTCTTGATCTAAGATAGTATCAGCAATAGCAATAGCAATAGCAGTAGACTTATATACCGCTTCATAGGCCTTTCAGGCCTCTCTAAGCGGTTTACAGAGAGTCAGCATATTGCCCCCAACAATCTGGGTCCTCATTTTACCCACCTCGGAAGGATGGAAGGCTGAGTCAACCCTGAGCCGGTGAGATTTGAACCGCTGACCTGCTGATCTAGCAGTAGCCTGCAGTGCTGCATTTAACCACTGCGACATTATTACAAAATAAACTATGGAGCAAAGTCATTACATTCTATTTGGAAGTATAGAAGAGGAAGTCATTCATATAAAACTCTCTGGGTGATGTCCGCTCCGACCCTCTGGAATAAACTGCCCCCAGAGATCCGGACCCTACCCACTCTCATGGCCTTCCGAAAGGCTATTAAGACCTGGCTATTCCAGCAGGCCCCGGGCTGTTGAACTCATGACTCAGTTCCAGCCCCGATTGACTGGGTATATGTTGTGGTCTTTTTAATCTATGTTTGTTTTTAACTTTTCTATTTTTAAATGTATTGTTGTAAGCCGCCCGGAGTCCTTCGGGATTGGGCAGCCTATAAATTCATTAAACATCAACCATCAAAAATCAAACATGTAGGGTCTTTGGGCCTTCTTACAATTTTTGAAATTAAAGTCATTTCAACTGATACAATCCACTCTCTACTCAACAAATGCAATACATTATTACAAAATAAACTATGGAGTTGAAGGCATGTGTGAGCATCCCTCCATTTAATGTCAGGTTAACTTATTTGATATGAAAAGGCAATTTGCATAGATCCAAGCAAGGTAAAGGAAGTTTCATGCAGGGAAGGAATTTCCCTTAATTTGAATTGTAAGGGTTATGGTCTCATCTGCAGAACGTGAAATTAAACAGCAAACAAGACCATCAGCCTGCAGAGCTAGCAGGCAATCAGGAAGCTTCAAGAGACAATAAACCTGAGCAGGTGAAATCCAGTTCAGATAACGAAGCACCATGCTGGCAGGGCATCCAAATTGGAACCTACTGGCAACTACAAAGGGCTGAGTAGAGACAATTAGCATATTCCCTAGGCAGGAGAGTGCTGCAAAAACCTTGATCAAACCACAACAGCAGCTGGGTCTATATAAAAGCAACCTCCAGGCTTTTGCTCTCCAACTGCAGACTCCTATGCTTACTATTGTTGTTTTCCATTCACAACCTAGGTTTGATATTCAGCCTGGCTTCTAGAATTTTCTGGTCTTCAAACATTACACCAGGGGTATCAAACTTGTGTCATCACAGAGGCATGTTATGTATTGGGACTCCCCCCCCCCTTTGCTAAACTAGGTGTGGGCAGTGTGTGACAAATCCAGGCCCTGGGCCAAGAGTTTGACAGCCTGCTCTACACTATTACACACAACTTTTCTGTCTATCCTTTATGCTTGCTAGCAGATTATGACTCAATCTTTCTAATACTTTTGAATCTTCTATGGCTTAAGTGCTTCTCTAATTACCTGAGTCCTGACTATTAAGACATGCCAATAAAGCATTTCAAATTTGCATTAGTCTGGCTTTTTGATTTGTAGTGACAGTAATCGGGCATAAATGCTGCATGGACTGAGAAATTTACTGTTTTTCCAACTTAAACAAAAATTGTTTAAAAGCTCTTAGTGAATCTCTCCTCTTCTCAATTCAATTACATTCTCTCTCTCTGATATAGGAGACCAGGATAAACCACTATTCTGTAAGAGGCAAATTAATTTTAGATGGCTAGTCATTATGATGATGAGATGCAAGATTGAATTAGAAGGCAGCATTAGCAGAACTATATTAAAAACTAATGATCTTTGTCCTACCCAGATATGAACTCTTATTTCTAATAGCTGCTCTCCTACCATTATTCTTCAGCAACTGGATCTCTGAGTCAAAGGAATTATGCTCCCCGTGATTGTATCTTTGCATTTTTTGCATTATGCACTAAAGATATTCTTCTTGCCTATTCAGATAAAGCTTCTAAAGGCAGAGGAGGATGAATAATTCTGTTATGCAGCAATACATACTAGGAAAATTTGAAAATGCATTGCTACAAAGTACAGACAATAAATTATCGGTGGTGTTTTTAAGTTGCAAAATAGCATGTAAAGAACTAGTGGATTCCCATAGTGCCAGTGTACTGCTCCAAACCCCAACCTAAATCCCAGGACTGTAATATGGAAAAAGGATGCTTACATTTTTTTTCTAGAGTTAGCAGCAATTGCAAGAGTAGTTTAAATATTTATTTAACTGCCTCCTGTCACCACTTTAATCTAATTCAAATACTCTTTTATCACAATCTAAAATTTCATCTGCACAAATTGTTTTTGAAAATGGATAATATAAGCAGGTGTCTCAAGAGTTCAGGGACTATTGTGGACTATTTTCTGGAAGAAAGATATGAGATTTTACTCTTTCAGTAAGTGTGACTCTTCTTTCAGCAAATTTGATTCAATATTATAGACTTAAGAAAATACATTAATTTTTGAATTGGTAGAATGAGATTCTTTCAGAAAAATAGATTTAGATGTCTTATAATTAAAAAAAAATAGAGGCATTTTCATTCACAATTTTAAAAAACATTCTAATCTGAATGTGTCCAGCACCTCCATACAATGGGAAATACAGAATGATTTGATTTCCAATTCTATAAGAACAGCA